AGAGAGAGAGAGAGAGAGAGAGAGAGAGAGAGAGAAAGAACGACAAATGCCACTTCTGCGTAGCAGGTGATACGCACAATGTCGGCACGCGCCTTGATAGCGATCAACTTATAACATTTAACTTATTTACTTCTACTTGCAAACTGCTGAAGAGGTACTGAAACAGAGTAAGACATTGATATTTTCAGCAATTATGATTATGGAGTTGAGGACTACTATGTAGTAGGCATGCTAAAATTTTGGTTAGATTCTATCGACAGTTTCGTGATTTCCTCTGATGCTATTGGAGAAGAAGATGTCAAATTCAACAATCCCAGTGGATTAGAGAATTATGCAAATGTAAGTATTTGTGCATTCTTAGAAATTCGCAAAAGGATAAAAGTAAAAACTGCAATCAGAAAATAAAATAAAACTTTTCTTCATGAGTTTTCCAGCTTATGCGGGAAGATATAAGCGAGATTGGATGTGTTGAAAATGTCTGCGATCCTGGTACAGGAACAAAAGGCACCTTGGTATACTGCCTAACCAATCAAGAGTGAGTTTATATCATACTTTGTACATCTTATAACTAAAACTGTATATAATACGAACTCAGGATGTGTTGACGAGAATCTTCATCAAAAAGATGTGTGAAGTAGAGTCAAAACTTCCTTGACTTCCAGGAAGATTAAAAATGTGTGGAAAAATTGCTGCTTACCCACTTCACTCGAAGAGTCTAGCTTTCAAAAATTCCGAGGGTGGGAACTACTTTACAAAAGCATCTCCATTATTTGCGGAGGGTAGCGCGTTCCTGTGAAAGAAGTGTTCTAGGCTCAAAAAATGCATACACTTCATTTCAACTCAGAAAAGGCCGAAATTGAGATCACGCGCATAGCAATGTTGGTCCCAATGCAACGCCAGCTGTACCTGTCATGGCAAGACCCGTATCTATCGTTCTTTTTGAAGTCACAGTTTGCTCAAGATCGAGGTTGGTGAGATTTTGATACTGTGTAAGAGTAGGTCCTCTCTAAGTAATCGTCTGAGTTGCTGCAAGATGGATTTCGAAGCGAGGAAAGCGCTCTAGTTGGAAGCGGATTAGGCGGCACCGTCCTAGATACTCAGAAGAGAACCAAATTTTGAAGTTGTCATACTTGAGACTCACGTTGATGGGAAAGGTATGTCCATCAATATGAGTGGAGTTAGTAAGTCCAAAATGGGACTCATGTACCAAAGACTGTCATAAATCTGTCTTTCCTTATGATTACTGGATTTCGACATTGCTTTCACCCTGAACCCAATTTTGAAGCTGAGATATTCAAATCACTTGCGCTGACAGAAAATGCCGCCTGAGCCGCTATTACCTCCCGAAGCAAATTCTCGTTTCGGAATAAATTCTTTCTGCAGCGGGACTTGGGCGATTACTTATTACGCGCTATTATAACGGATTAAGAGTTCGGCGTCTTCAATACCTTCTGCGGGCTTGCGCCAGACACACTACTTCATAGTGGAAGAGGCAAGTGTACGCGTGCGAGCTTTCTGCTGTGACTTGCGAGGGCCAGTCGTCTACCAAGTCAGTGCTTTTATCCTTCCAGATTACTCTGGT